CATTACTTGTACTTTTTGAAATAAAATATAGACACTTTGTTATTTCAATAAAAAATTGCTTTTCAATCTTGAAACATAGTATTTTATTTACTCAACTTGTCGAATGGATACTACAATTATTATCTCAAGTGAAAAAATACTTAAAACACAATTATAGTATCAAAAATTCAGGTATCTCCTACCCGCCTCATAGATAGTGTAACAATTTCTCACCTCATTCATGCCGGGATATATATTTATGACAACCAGTTGAATAGAAACAGTATCAAATAAATCACGCACACTTTTAGTACAGCGACAAGAATGAGGATCCACATTTTAATCAACAAAAACATCCTTAAGTTTTTGTTTCTCTTGTGGCTGAATTAGTCATTTTGCTCGTTTTCTTTTTACACTTATTCCGATTTGTACTTTTTTAAGCATGGTTTGTACTTTTTTAAGCATGGTCTTAAGCATAGTTTTAAGACCGAACATCTCTAAAACAAAATTTTGTAGATTTTTTAAATGATTTCCAAACAATTATATCTGATTCAACATTCAATGCGAAATTGAAAGTTTTACCCCCTAGAAAGTTTTTTAGTTTACAAAGAATAGAAGTAGATTTATTAAATAAAATTCTTGGAATCATCACACTTGAGAAACATTGGTTAATCTTGAAGACAGTTGCAACTGATAGATTAATTGTAATTGTTTTTCAAATTTAAATTCAATTTAAAATACTTTTTTCTGCTTAAAGGCATCAGATAATAATCCAGATGTATACATGAATGCAAAAATGTTTTACTTGCTTCTCAGTAAATGTATTTTTAAATGTTCCCATATGCAACTTGACATTTACCTCCTCCTCCTTGGAAGTAATTTAGGATTATTTCGTACTTTGCTCTTAGTTGTTAAAAATTATTCATATGCTTGGTCCATAGCAGTGTTTTTCAACCTACTTGAATGCGCGACCCTTTTACAAGTTAAAAAATTCTGGCGACCCCAGAACCATATTAAAACTATATCAGTGATTGTAAAAACTATGTATGTAATTTTCTTTTTTTAAATATTGGTCCAAAAACCAATTGTACTGTAGAATAAACAAACACAGCCTTCTCACTGAAATTCTAGTTTTTTTTTTATTGTAGTATAGGACCTACAAACACTTGTCTTTTTTTCACCCGCGACCCCCCGTGTAAGGCTTTGCGATCCCCCTGAGGGTCGCGACCCACAGGTTGGAAAACACTGATGTATAGTATACACCAAGCATGTGAATAAATACAACGGTTTTACTTGCTAGTTTTTTGTATTTGCTTGCTTGCTTACTTTTTTTACTCTTTCAGAATTTTTTCTTATTTTTCCCTAGTGAGAATTAACAGGTAATACAAAAGTTGAAAATGTCAAATGCGGTGAAACTTAGTTGCCCAAATATAAAAGCTTCTATATAAAAAGAAAATTTAAAAAATGCTGTTTTGATAAATAATTGGAAGTGAATACTTTCTCAATTTCTTCGATAAAGGACTGCATATAGCCTCTTCTGAACAAAGTCTTGTATTTACTTATTTCTACTTTAGAATCTACTTTACAATCACTTTCATATGCAGATTTACATTTAAATAGGTTATCATGTATGAACAAATATTGTAGAGTTGTTTTCATTTTAACATTCCTCTGGTTGTTTTTTTTATCTGAATCTATCTGTGATTAGAATTATTATAATTTTTAAATAATTTATTCGAAACATCGATCCATTGTCATCTATTTTCACATTTTAGCTTTTAAAGTCCTATAAAGTTTTATAACAACTGAACAATTTCTTTCTGCAATATATGTGGTGGACTAATGCAATTATTTAGATATAATATAAACAGCTGTTTTGTTGTTTTAATGATAAAATTTATTATTTTATCACTTTGTAGTGTATCTAGCTTTCTTTCTTGAAATGTGTTAGTAAATTTATTGGATACCACCTTGCTTATTTTCCTTTTAATTGAAATGGTTCAAGAATAATTACTGATATACAGATTATAGTTAAAATGTCATTTGTTTTATCATTGTATGATTTTAAACTTCGCATATTAACCAAATCTCCTTGTCATTGATTATTCAATATTCTAGATATAAATTATTATATATTTCTTTTAGGCTTTCATTTAAAAAAATGAGACTTTTTCATACTACAAAATGTACAAGTTCCATTAGTTATCAGCTTAACTTTCTTTGTTGTTGCTTCTTGATTATACTCTGTGTTTCTTGAGTTTTTACACTTTTATACTTGTACCACTGTTAGAAGTTATCTTAACACTAATATTACAATAAAATTAATGGTGACCCCTCTGTTTCTTTTCAAGTCTTATATTTTTAACAAAATTGTTTTTAACTATTCGCTCTTAAGATATTTAATCTATTTTTATGAATTGACTTGATTCAAGAATAAATTTTTTCCAGATGCTTTATTATGTAAGTTACATTCAAATCCTCACCTGCTATCATGTGATCGACTGTAACCTTAGAGTTGATTTTTTGAAATGTTAATTTTTTTCATATTTATTAATATTAGTGGTTCTATCTTGCATTTTATGTAGTGACATTTGTGTAGAATTGGTAAATATTCATTATAGGTTGTTTTTGCTTGTTTACTGAAATTTCCTAATTGTCTTCAAATGAATTATTATTTGACAAACTGCTAAAATTGTACTGCTCATCTGCTTTTGCTTTAGCAATGTGGTGAACATCGCCATCATCTAAGTGGTTTTGATAATTACAGTACAAACCATCTTAATTATCACAATTATATCCATCTCTGACGGTTACAAATAAAATTTTACAGTTATACTGTTCATAAAACTGCATCCAAAGTGTTAAAGAAATCATTCCTCTAAGTAGAATGAAAGAATCACATCTTCATTTGACCTACTTTTAACAGAGAAGAGAATTTTGTAAACAGTCATAAAAAAAATAACAGCAGCAGCTTATTGACATTTGTGGTGGAAAAGGTTGAGCTGGGTTTATTACTTCTGCTGGAAAAAATATATAAAATGTTTCTATGTTGACCTTGAAACATGAACCCTTGCATGAATTCAGATAATGTATCATATATAAAGTTGAAATTTGATACATTTAGTTTTTATATTTTTTCAGATCAAACTACATTAATTTCAAAGGAAAGTAAGACAGCTTTTCTAAATCGTAAGTATTATACAAGGTGAAAAGGACGAAATTCAGAAATTCATATTTATTTATAGTTTTTGAAGCATTAGCGATTTTGTAGCATTTTTAGTATCAATTACATGACCCTGTGTAACATAAATAAATTTAGGTGAAATTTATGAAGAAATAATGCAGGGGTAAAGTTTCTTTATTCTTTATCTCTTGGCAATTCATTTACCTTGGTATTTCAGTTTGATGTTGTTAATTTTCTGTCTCAAATGATAGTGGTCCACACATTCTGATGTCTTTGTTTTACACTGTGTTTACTTCCAAATACAATTCAAATGGTAATAAGTGCTTGTAGAGACTGAAGAAATGTAAAGCACTAGGGTAATAAGACATCTTGTGCTATCCTGTGTAGATATATATCTGAGTATATATACTCTACTCTGTTTCGTTTTCTGAACCGTTTCGTACATTTTTCCTTTCGTTTCTGATCCTTTTTCCATTTCAGTTTTATATTTCATTTATGTGAAATTTCAGAAAACATAATCAGGATGTAAATCTTGTTCTACAATCAATACATGACAATATGTTAGTTATGAAAATCATTATTTTATTGTTAAATAAAAGGCATAATGACTTAGTCACAATATATTATGTAATATTGAAATGTTCTTTTTTTTATCAATGTTTGATAAATTTACACCTAAATTTGATTTAAGAACAACCTTCACTCTTGGTGCTTTGGAGTAGAGCAAATAATTGTTAACGAGAGCGAAAAAAGAATTTGTTTACTTTCTCATGTGAAAAAAGAATTTGTTTACTTTCTCATGTGAAAAAATGAAGAAAGAAAAATTTTTTATCATCATAAACAATGTATTTTGTGTTTTAAGTTTCTTTTCATTGATATATTGTTATATTCATCATAAAATTTTATACATTATTTAAATTATTAATTATTTTTTTAAATATTTTAATAACTGGAAATTCTGTTGTATCAATTTATAAGATTTGTATCTTTAAATATCGTAAAAATTTAAAGTTGAAATAACTGTTTTGAAATTCAGTTTATTATAATGACAAAGAATACATTTTTTTTTACAGAATTAAAAAGTACGACCTATTCTTTCTGGTTATAAATATTAACCTCACGTCATATTAACCTCATGTTTAACGTTACTTTCAAAATTTCAATAATAAATTTAAAGTAAAAAATGTTTGTTAGTCATGAAATGTCAGAAGATTAAATATGAAAGGTAACTTTGCGCATTCGTTAGTTAATAATAATCTGAGAATATAAAGAATGTGTAATATTTTATATTTATCTTATTTTCATAGTACAAAATGAATTAAGATATGCTGTGTAATAAAAAAAATCTTTATAAACCATGTGTAGAGAAACATTAATTAATAGCTTTCACTTTCAAACAATAGAGAGACGAATCTCCGTCAAAATAAAACTTTTCAAATGCAAAATCTAAATTTTAATCAATCATTTAATTCAATTTATTCGAATAATATTTTATTTTGCTTTTTTATAGGCAAAGTAATATCTTGTTGCTATTAATTAAAATAGAAACATGAAAATTGACTGTGTAAGAAAAAGATTCTCGCTCCTTTTTCAAAAATTAGGAAGATTAATTGGACTTCATCCGTACTGCTTTATTTTTATTCCTATTTTAATAACAGCGACATTCTCAGCATTCGTCTTCAATATAAACACAATCTCAAACACATTCGAACTGACATTCTCAGATTCAGGAAAAGTCTATAATACTAAGAAGTTCGTTGATAAAACGTTTCCTTTTAACACATCGAAACTCCTTGATCCGACAAGATTTACAAACATACCAAAATGTGTGTTTGTAATGTTTACAAAGAAAGGTGGTGGTGACATGCTCGAAAAAGATGTGCTACTAGAAATAAGTTTGGCGGATCGACTAATTAAAAATATAACAATTAATGATGAAGGTGTAGACATTGGATATTCAGAAATTTGTGGACGTGTAGGCGAAAAGTGTTTTGAAAATCCGATTATCGAAATATTGCCCGATATTGATAATATAGTGCAGAGAAAAAAGAAATTAAAGTATCCGATCGACATAGATCCGTTGACATACTCTTATCAAATATATTCTCTCAACTTTGGAAATGTAATCGAAGATGAGAACGACGTGATTCAAACAGTAAATGCTATGAGATTAACGTATTTCACAGACGAGAGCGACGAGAAAAAACAAAATGTCATAGAAAGATGGCGAACAGAAGTTTATAATCGAATAAGATATCATCGATTTAAACATGTTCTGTGTTTTATTGATTACACCTGGTCAATAGAACAACAAAATGTGCAATTAATGGATAATATAAAACCGATGATTGGGGCACTAGTTGCATTCATTTCTGTTTTTACTACTGTTACGTATATTAGCAACAATTGGGCAAAAAGCAAGCCTTTTCTGGGTGTTGCAAGTGTCGTATCGGCTGGTCTGGCTGTAATCACCTCTTTCGGATTCATGTCGGTTGTCGGTGTGCAGAACAGTATTTGGAACATCACCATTCCATTTTTAGTTCTCGGTAAGTGATTACTTACGCTTTTATATTTGTTCTCTTTTCGATTGTGATTTCTTTAATTAATAAAGATTTTCTGTTGTAGTGACAGAGATCGATGATGCTTTCGTATTGTTGGCGTGTTGGAGAATATCAAACCCCAAGCATAAAGTACACAAACGCATGGAAGAAACATTGGGTGAAGCAGGAATTTCTATAACGTTAACATCATTGACGAACCTATTTTCCTATTACATTGGAATGATGTCATCTTTTCCTCTGATAAGAATATTCTGTTATTATTCCGCAACTAGCATAGTGTTTACGTTTTTGTATCAGATAACGTTTTTTGCAGGGTGCATGGCATTATCAGGATACAGAGAAGAGAAACAACAACAAGAACAAGCACTTCGTGTTAATTTCGGTAAGAACGTTAAACTTTTTAAATTGTATATATATAGAATATAAAATTTTTTATAAGTTGTGTGTAATACGAGATTGTAGAGAGTGATTGTTGACAAAGTACGACGAGTAAGTCTATAGTGAATATGATGCATCATTTCGTTTAAATGTTTTGGTAATTAATAAAAAATTATTTGCAGAAAGTTAATTTGTGTGGGAAATTAATATATAAAAGTTCACCAGCATGTATAATTGTTGTGAGTAGTTTAATATTCTGAAAAACTTTTATTTATAGACTTTATATATTATTAAGAAAAATCTATAAGATTAGTAAAGTAATAAAACAAATTTATTATATACCTCATCTTGAATCTTTTGGTAGAATCAGAACATAAAAATTAGGTTTAAAATTACCTTATTTTAAGGTATAAAAATAGTTATTATCTTAATGTGCTTATAGTCTTTCTCTAAACCTATACGATTAAGTTTTCTTGTAGAAAAACAAAAGATTAAAACAAATGCACTCTGGCAAGCAGAGTTACTAGATTTAAACACTTAGCTAAATACATAAATACAATAATCGACATAAATACGTACAATTTTATTTTTGTTTTTTTCTTAAAACAGACTTATATGTATGTACCAAGGAAGAAAAAATCACCTTATAGTGTGTTAAATTCTTAAGAGATAGCAAATTGTATTTTAAATTTAGCATTAAAAATACAGTTTGATCTTAGTTTAAAATTTTTAACAGAAAAGGTAAAAATTATTGTTTCAAAAAGAACATTGATACTCTTCAGTTTTTTTTTTTTTTTTTCGAAAGTAAGGAAAATGTTATTGAACACTTGAATAAAACTTTTAAAAATAAAACGCCAGGCTATTTACAGTACATTTCGTGATTCATATAAATATATAGATGTATTACAATCGCTTGTAAAAAGTGTTCATAAAAGTATAGGTTTAGCTCCTGCTAAAGTAACTAAAATTCATCATTGAGAATATTTCTAAGATTACATGCTCAATAAAAAAATTCATTTTGAACGTGAAGTTATTGATCAAGTAAGAATTTCAAAATGTAGAATTCAATCTTTTGTAGGTATTATCAGGGTACACTAAAAATATTCCTCACACTTAATAGATTTTTAACCGATTCACTAACGTATTCTTTAAAAGATTAGCAGGAAATATTATAAAGGGAAACTTGTATACTGAAGAAATAAATAAAGTTAAAAAATCTGATAACGATTTCTGGATTAGTAAAAAAATATGAAGAATAAAATGTTCTTTATTAAAAAAGTTTCAATAAAGAATATTTTATTAAGTGGTAAAATTTTGATTTAAAATTTATTTCATAGATCAAAGCATTTTGCTAAAATGAAATCTGAATTTTATGTCACTCTGCTAAGTAATTCAAGTTCGAATATATGTTTATCTAATACTCCATCACATTGCATTACAAAACTATCATCACTTATAACTGAAAAATGGGAAGTTGCTATACTATAATGTATTATTCCAAATATTGGTTTAATAGACTATAACTAATGATTCAGTTATTAAAATAATTCAAAACTTGACTTATTGAAAAATGATGATTATGAAATATATCTAAAATATGATATTTAATAATCGACTATCGATATAACATTAGATGATTACTTCCTTTTACTACTAGAAAAAAAAATAAAACAAAAACTGAGTATAACATTGTCGTAAAAAACAGTTAAAAACAATACGTATAGGATTGTAAAACTGAAAAAAGATCGTTCAACGAATTATTGGATATTAAATATAAATTGTTATTTAATAGATAAGTAAAATTAAATTTACCTAAAAATATAGAAATAAAATTTGAAAATGTATTAACAGCTACATTAGGTTTTATTTAATAAAAAACTTATTAAACGAAAATATATTAGTCAATATTCTATAGATTTATCTGCTGCATATGATGAAATATACTTTGATACAATATGATGAAACTTTGTGATATTATTTTAGCATATCATGTGAATGATGTACTGTACATTCGCCATTGTTAAGAATTATTCCATAAAGTTTAGTATAAGTAATAGTATAACAAACAACATAAAAAACAAATTGATCGTATTTTTCTCAGGTTTCTACTTTCTAGTAAAAAGAATTTAGAAAGTTTTATTACTTTCCAGAAAAAGTAATGTTTTTCGAAGTATTATAATAGGTCATGAAGAAACTTTGAATAAAGGAGTAATTAAAATGCCAATTCGTAAACTAAAGTTAAATCATTTATTTTACCACAGATCATCAGTTATACCAAATGCTTCTATTCGTCAGTTACCATCAGGAGTAATTATTGGATTAGTATCTAATACAGCTTTTAATAGGAGTATATTTTCAAATCCCTTCTTTTTTCATCATTAGGATCTAAATTTTATTTGTCTTTGAATAATCAAGATAGATGACAGTATCATTGAATACAGTAATTTATCAATAAAAATTAAGTTTTGTTAAGCTTTGGATCATACAGTATATTCCTAATTAATAGAAATTAATAAATTAACAGGAATATATTTGGATTAATAAAAAACTTGTAATATTAGAACAAAATAGATACTTATATCTTTGGAGATTAACATAAAGTGACTACACTTGAATAGGATTTGGTGGTGTATATGCATCGAATCAATTACAGAAACATAGAGGCAAATTATGTTAATTTATTATAACATTAGATACAGATAATAAACCTGGAAATCTTTGGATTCGGTTCACATTATTAATAAAAAATGCTATTATTTTCACAGATATGAATTATCAATATCAAATAAATTTATTAATCAGAATTCTACATTAGGTGAAATTAATTCACAGACAAATCAAGATTCAGAGATTTAGTCCAGAGTTTCGCATGTATATACACCTCTCGGGTTTATTTGAATTTAAATAATATTAAAAATAACATTAATACAGTGGTAACTTGCCATGTTCTTGCATACGTAATATTAAAAGAAGTTCAGTAATAACAGCGTGTCTTGTTTTGACTTACATAGTTTATAAGTGACGTAACAACAGAAGTATTTTACGTAATCGATTTTCTGTTGACAGTATTGCAGACTTAAAATGTTTTGTTATATAACTAGTATACACAGAGTTGTCTTTGATTCGTCGTCTAAAGTCATGTGACACATATATGCGAATATTTTTATAATAAAGGATTAACGTTTATAACTGTATTTCCTGACTTGATAATCTAATTCCAAGTTTCATATACCGTTAAAATTACATACATTGGTATCATATAGTTTGAGTCTTTATTTTATAGTCGAGTATTAAATTTTGGTATTTCTGGATTATTTGTGGCTGCACTACTTTTTAATATAAGTTACAATTCAGGTTTCTTTTCAGACACAAGACTATAGACGAGAAACTCCACGTGAACATTAAACGCAGAGGTAGTATTAACCTTATAAAGGCCGCTAAGATAAATCCATTTTTTCTAACTGCTCACTTTCCTTGTCCTTTATTCATTCGCCTCTTTCGTTAGCTGCTGTTTTTAAATTTAATTTAACAAAAAAACCATCGTCTTTCGTTAACATAATAAAATTAAATCAAGAAATCTACTAATAAAAAGTAATTGTTTTTTTATTCTTTTACGTGATTTGATGAAATGACTGGACATATCATATGTCCAGTTAACTTATTTATTAACTTTTATTTTTAACTTTATTATTAACTTTTATTTATTTATTATATTGCAGCTAATTAGTATTGCACAAAATGATCTAAAAAGTAACTAAACATAATTCTAAAATTTATTTTCGAGTAGGAAGGTGTGTATATATTCTAAATGGTTAACTTTTATTTTCAGAAGATATCGAACATTCTTCGACAGAAGATGAAATGTCAACTGATGAGCCAACAATGTCATGTTTTAGGGACAAGTTGGGGAAAATTCTATCTATCAATGTAGTGAAGTTAATAGTTATTATCGTTTACTTTCTGAATTTATCATTTGGAATATGGGGAGCCTTAACTATAAAACACGGTATAGAATTTACTAAGTTATATCCAAAACAATCGGTAATAACACAGGGTATTAAAATATATTATAACAGTTTCGGCCGTTATACGTTTCCTTATCAAATAATCATTAACAGCACACTTGATTATTCAGATTTAAATGTACAGAAATCAGTTGATGAACTACTCAACAAATTCGAAAGTCTTCCATACATTGCAGATTCCCGATTAACAGTATCTTGGTTAAAATATTACAAAGAATTCCAAAATCACCCGCTGGCTAAATATTTATTACGAGGATACAACATGTCGGTTAAACAAGATTTCTTGGATGGACTTCGCAATGTTTTCCTGAAATTTAAATCAGCAGAACAATTCTCCAACGATATCGCATTCAACTCTGATGGATCCGATATTATAAGTAGCAGATTTCACATTCTTGTAAATGATACGTTAAGTCCAGCAGCTGAAATTGAAATGTTAAAAAATATGTGGAAAAATGCTGACGAATTTGATTTTCCTGTTCTTGTTTATTCAGCAGTCGCACCTCTGTACGAACAAGGAATTATAATTGGACGTACAATTAACGAATTATTTTGGATCACTTCACTTTTGGTTATGATTCTTTTTGTAGTTATCATACCAAACATTGTCGTTGCTGTTCTCGTTGCAATATCGGTATCATCAACCATCGTAGAAACTTTAGGATACATGTCTCTTTGGGGTATAAACATGGACATTTTATCTATGATGAGTCTGATATTATGTGTCGGATTCTGCGTAAATTATCCGGCTCACATATCTTACGCGTATATTTGTTCGTTGTGTCAAAACCCCAATGAAAAGATGAAAGACAGTCTGTATCGTATCGGCTATCCAATATGTCAAGGATCTTTGTCAACCATTTTAGGAATTTTATTTATATACAGAAATATGTACGCTTTAATTATATTTGTGAAAATTGTATTTCTTATTGCATTGGAAACTGCATTTCATGCATTGATTTTCATTCCTGTGGTTCTTTCTTTGATCTCCTCAATCTTTCCTAAAGTTAGTAACATAATATAGAGTCCGAGGTACAGAGAAATATCACCAGAAAATTTACTATTGTAATTATAAAATATATATTACAGTTTTAAAACTTTGAGGCATATTTTTTTCCAGTTAATCTCAATTGTACAAGAAAATTTAATGTAATAATGGTATCAATAATCAGTTCTCGAGATCTGACACGATATGGTATGTCATTTTTCAAGTATTTTACGTGGAGAATTTTTGAAATTGTTACGTTTTTTGATGTCATTGTTTGCGAGTAAAATGTTAGAAATATTTGATTTTACTGTAATCTTGTTATAATAAATTATATATGCATTAGAAATGTATATTTAAATAATATAATGGATTTCATTTAAAATTATACACTTTACTAAATTTTTCATTAGTAAAAATTTGAAGAGTTATATTTTGTGTTCACCCAATGTAATAAAACTATTTTTACATTAAGAAATTGATAGTATTTTAGTAACATTTGAATTTTACGTTATATTAATATAGTAGCACTTGAGACGGTTTGCTTTTTTAGAACCATTTTCCAGCGAAGTACTGTAATTGTTATTTACGTGAAAAGCAGTTTAGCTTTATATATTCGTAATATTTTATTTCAGACTTTGTTATATACAAGAAAGAGAAAGGGTGACGGGCAAGCAGAAAATGATTTCTGAAGACTTTTACTTTTATTGACTTACAAAACCGGTTCTTTTTTTCATGTATGGATTACTGTGTGCGAATTAATACGATTTTCGTAACGATAATAATTTATTTGCTTGCTTTATCCATGCCATCAAAATTATGCTTTTTGCCATTTCATAATAATTAAAATTAAACAGTGAATATAATTAAAAATGCATTTAATTACATCCAGAAACAACAAAAAATCGTTGAACACCTTAGATTTAAATTTTGCAAACATAATATGTCACGAAATGACAGATCTTCGCACATCGTCAAGCACATCGTTTAATTGATTTACATAAAAACTACTCACTTTAATGCCACTACTGGAAGAACTTAGAGCTTTGTAATTGATTTTCAATTTATTGTTTTTATGTTTGTATTTATAGCGAAGTGAATTTATCTCTTTATTAAGAACAAATAAAATATTTAAGTGATTGAATATTTCATTTATTTTTTGCAAAATTAATCGAAAAATGTAAATAATTTCCGGTTAATTTTTTTTATCTATATATATATAATCGAGATGGATTGATAATAATAATAATAATGGCCGGATGGACGAGTAATCAATGTGGCAACCTACCACTTTGGGAAACACGGGATCGAATCCAGATGGGTCAAGGAATCCCGAAGAATTTTTTGGGGTGGTCTGTTCGGATATGTCGCGCCCTGTCCCTCACGTCCCGGTTGCCCCAATGTGGGCCTGGCTGAACCCATAATGGACCTGCTATAAGAGGCCCTCTTAGTGTCCACAGGGTGGAAGTGTAAAAAACAATAAAGATAATAATCGTAAAGATTTTTTTCACTTTTTCGGACAGTTTTAGAGTTTTTGGTTAATAAAGATGTAATTTTGAAATAATATTAATTAAGTGTAAACTAGATATTGTTTATTTAACAGATTTGTTGACTAAATTTAATGAGGTTAACTTGCAGTTACTAGGTGACAATCCACGACGTGTACAACGTGAATCTTGTTACATGTAACTTGTTGCAACTGGACCTATATTAGGTAAAGGTTATCAGTCCAAATAAGTCGGCTACTTTTACATTAAACTGGCACTTTTTATATAAGGTAGCCATGAGTCTGATGAGTGGCAAGATTGTGCTCATCTGGTGTTCAGTGATTTTTTCTCCATTTGTTTTCATGTTTGAATACTAGAATTTAAGATACATAAACACATGTTAGGTACTTACGTACAGACAGAATGTTGATTTTATGAATAACGTTACCGGACATAAAAGCAGTTGCTAAATTTACTAATTATGAGAAGCAATTATATCACCCAATAGTAATTTATTTATTTTGAATCGATTATAGAAGTAGTTCATGTAAATGCTGTAGATCTAAATTCTAGTTTCACTAAAACTATTCAGATTCATAAACCTATATGTTATTCTATCGTTATTATAGAAAATGATGATGATTTATTATATTCTAATTTTTATTGTGGTAAAGATGCTGTTAAGCATTTTTTATTTGATATCCAGAATCAATTAAATATTTTATTAGATAAAATAAATAGTTATGTAGAAATGAATGTAGATACTATTTCTGATAATTACGAACATCAGTGTCATATATGTAAAAAGGGGTTTAATTATGATGATATCAGAGTAAGAGATTACAATCACTTAACAGGGAATTATTGCGGGATAGCTCATAACCATTGTAATTTAAATTATAGGTTCAAAAAATTTATTCCTATTATACTACATAATTTTACAGGTTATGACTCCCATCAGATTATCAAAAATATTCCTCCTAAACTATTTTCGAGAATTCAGATTATCCCCATAAATCAGAAAAATTTACAACGTTTACTTTAGATCATTTTAAATTTAAAGATTGTTATCAATTTTTAAATTCCTCGCTAACTACTTTAACAGAAAATTTAAAAAATGCGAATTATAATTTTCCTGTTTTTAATCAATTTTTCTATAATAACGAAAATAAAAATTTATTAAAAAGGAAAGGAATTTTCCCATATTCTTATTTTAAAAATGAGGATATTTTATACGAGAAATGTTTACCCCCAAAAAAATATTTTTATAACGAATTATCTGGAGAAAATATTAGCGATGATGATTATGATCATGCAAAATTAGTTTGGAAAAAATTTCGTTGTAAAAATTTTAAAGATTATTTAAAATTATATCAATATGTTGACACTTTATTACTGGCTGATATATTCCAAAATTTTAGAAAATTAAGTTTAAAATATTATAATTTAGATTTGGTATATTTCATAACAGCTCCAGACTTAACATGGAATTGTGGATTAAAAATGACAAAAATTCAACTCGAATTATTTAATGACATTAATACGTATCTCTTCATCAAAAAGGGAGTCAGGGGGAATCAGTATAACGGATAAACGATTCGCTAGGGCGAATAATCTTCTAATTCCTAAAGCCTATGATAAAAATCAATGTCATAACTATATTATTTCGATAGATGCTAAAAATTTCTATGGATTTGTGATGAGTTCTTATTTACCTGTAAATAATTTCAGATGGTTATCTGAGGATGAGATAAATGCTTTAGACATTTGTAATATTCCTGATAGGAATAATATAGGCTATATTTTAGAGGTTTATTTAAATTATCCACCAAATGTTTATGATTACCATAATGAGCTGCCATTAGCTCCTGATCACGCGAATATTTCATTTGATTTATTATCAAATGATCAAAAATCGATATTAACTAAATTAAATTTAAAATATAATAATAATAATAATAACTCTCCTGTGGTCACCACCTAGTCGTGGTGGGAGAGCCCAGTAGTTTTACAGATCCATAGGGCAATGCAGGCTGGAGCACAAGCTCCTGGTAGGGACACCCATGCCAGTAAGGTCTTTATGCTTTTTCATAATGTCTAAACTAATTTCATTTCTATTGCAAGAGGCAATTGCATTTATTTATTTGAATGTCATGTTTTAACCATAACCTTGTGTTATTGCTTTTTTGTGAACACTGTAATAGAAAATTTTTACAACATTAAGACAATTAAATTTTGTGTCTTATGAAACAATATAATTTATATATCTTAATCCTTTGTTTCTTTGATAATATTATTACGATTTTTTAAAGTACAAAGCTTTAAGTTCTTGAATTCTTGACATTATATAAAATATTCCAAATTTTTAATGGTCCATATATTATTTGTTGAATCGCTTCATTTCTGAAGTAGAAAACATTATTGACAAAACAACTGCAAAATATTTTGGCGTGTTTATAATATTTCAAGTGAAGTCTAATTTCGAATATAAGTTATCGATTTTTGACTACTGCAGAATTATATCACATAAAAAATTACAAAAAAATAAATGTATGCAGATATGTGACCTGATTATAAAATATTAAATAAAACATAATTTACAGTCAAATACACATGGAATTTAAAAAATTTGATGTAAATTATTCACCATATATTAATTCACATTGTAGGCAATTTGAAATAAACGTATTATTTTGAATGCCAGAATATATCGTGCAGTTCACACTAACTAATACTTCACAGTTTTACTAGCATGCCGGATACTCTGGTGTTAATTACATCATTCGTGTGCACTTTGACCAAAGCTTGAAGATGATAAACGAACTGATCGTAAATATAAACAGTTTGGTCTGTCATTTAATGCCATAAATTTACGAAAATAAAAACAGTATTGGTTTTTTTTTGAAAATTTAAATTGTTATAACTAATATCTAATTACTATTACAAAATCAATAATCGGCATCTGAAAAAGTTAATATCGATTAATGCACTGTTTTACTATCCAATCACGATTCACTTTTTGAAATATTGTTATAAAAATGCGTATTAACGTTGCAACGGTAGCAGTTGCCGAGACATCCACGGTGTAAACATTTTACTACTTTACACATAGTACACAGGTTGCAGCCGAAGTTCAAACGTTAAACGTGTACGGCAAGTAGAAGCACACGTTTGACGTTTGAATTCGAAATAAAACACGTTGCACCATACGTTTACTTCAAGTACTCACTCATGGGATATTATTGAAAAATAACGGAAATGTTTAACGGTTTTGAATATTACCAGCGAATGTAAATAAACAAATTAAAATATTTTATAGTATTTACGGGATGTTTAATAACACTAAATAATTATTTTTAAGAAAAAAAAATTTAACGTTTATAATTCAAATTTCAAGTCTAAAGAAACGGTTGAAAAATATAAATCACAGCTACATAAAATACACATAATTTCATGTCAGGTAACATTTTCCTTTTAAACATCAATAACAATTCAATTGATGTAATTCTGTTTCACTTTTAAAGCATAATTTATTGTAGAATATTTTAAATTGAAAATATCAGATTATAAAAAAAAACATTATAGTATGCAATGCTTTATGTTGACATGAGTGGTTGAAAACTCCACTTATTTTCTTCTAGAATTACAAAACAGTAAACTTAGTAAATTAAATCCATTCTTTACTAAAGGTTTCCAGATACATCTGGATAAGATTGAAACAGAATGAGTTTTTCCGAAAAGATTCTGGATTGCTTGAATTTCAAAGCAAGCTGGATGTTTATCGTCACTCTGCCAGTAAGAGAAATACATTTTAATTGTGTGAAAAACGTGCATTATTGTAGAAACAGCTTTAAAGTAAACTAGCTAGATAACTATGCAGCTAGATAAAAGTTAGAAAAAAGTCGGAATTACTTTTGTAATTTACTTTTGTATTAATTTACTTTTGTAAGTGACTTCAATAAACTGACTAAAATTTTTTCTTATAAATAAATACTTGCATATTAAATTAAAATGTGTATATGATCAGAATTATTATTTGTCCAGTTTTTCAATGTTTATTTGTCATTGTGTCCATTTTAGAATTAATATTGTCAACTTATATTGAACTGATATTAAAATTTCCATGCACAAAACGTAAATATTAAAATTGATGATTCCTGCAATCAACCAATGGAGTTTTATAATTCCTGCATGGATGGTACGGCAATATTTGAGAAAGAGCATACGCGTCATGGCAAAAAAAATGGCCGACCGCCTATCTGTTCCGAAGCGAGCACAGATTGCTACACACTGAAATGTGGAAATCAGTATTTTCTGTTTAGCGATGGTTGCGTATGGTGAAGAAACGTCATGCTATAATTTATTCGGATACAATCAAGAGTTGTCTTTCTAAGCTAATGACCACAGGTTCGATTACAGATGCACAGAGAAGTGAACGGACATTCATGTCACGATGTGAGAAAAACGTTTCGTTGGTGGATGACACTGGTTTCACATCGCATTTTAAGCTATTTAAATTTAATAAGATACATGGTAAATAATTATCTCCTTTTTGCTGTAAAGATAAACAGTAGAGCTTCGTTTATCCGAATCAATTGGGGACTGGGGTTGTTCGGATAACTTATTTTTCGGATAACCGATTATGTACGAAAAATATGTTAACCTATCTCGTGTTGAAATTTTTCTCTGTTGCGTGTCGCTTCTCGTTGAATTTTCGTCGATGTTAAGCCTAACGGAAACTTTTTAAAATAATAATCGTGGCTATTGTATCGTTAAAAATGATTTCTTTATGTTTTACAAACGAAATATATACATTGAAAAATATAAAAACAAATAAAAATTATACTTTAGGCCGACTGGAATTCTTTCGGATAANTTTCTAGTAACCGTGAACGAATCAAAAGACGAGATAAGATTAACGAGAACATTTATTAGCTTACATACATCCGACTTGTAGTTTACACCAATTGCGAAATTATACTCCGACTTACGCGAATTCGACTTACGCGGCGCTCGGTCCCACCTATCGCGTAAGTTCGGGGTATTACTGTAAATATAAAAAGTTACATTATTTTTATTAATTAGAACAATTTGATGTTTCGAAATAAATGTATAAGCTAACATATCTGTTATACTTCTAAAACAAACTAATGCAAATTGCCAAAGAATTTAAGATGCCTTAGGAAAAATTTATATTTGAAGCTCATCGAATGCATATATAGTATTTATTCATTTACTTTTATAATACAACTAGCTGCAAAGACCCGCTTCGCTGGGTTTTTATTTGTATGTAATACAGTTTTATATATATATATTTATATAAGACTTTTTCTAAGTAATCTAGAATCTAGCTGCAAGGACCCGCTTCGCTGTGCAAAAAGTAACGATAGTGAAGATTAAGAAAATTATATTATAGCTAATCTTACCCGTTTTCACAGAATTCAAGAATTAGGTCCCCCATTTCCAGACTAATTAGAGAATTTTTACGTCCAGTCAAACGAACTATTTTCAACTTTCCTGGAACGTTTACAATCGTTCTATAATCGAACCAATATTCGAATTTTATGTTCGAATTTAATTCGAACAAATTTAAACATAAAATTCGAAATATAGAACCACTTTCAACCACTTTTAAGCCCATATCTCTCGCACCCTTATAGCTATCGAGACACAACCACCCTGGTGCACGAATAGAGACTTGGGGCTACTACCACATAGAAATACCATTCATGTGCGATGTGTAGTTTTGGCTGAAAAGTGAAATGTAGGGGCATACATGTCCATTTATATATATATAGAAGAACAATAAATAAAAAAAATACGATTTTTTAAGTAATGCCAAAAGATTTACAGTATTATTGGGCTATAATTAAGGCTAATTTAAAAATTAAATATAAAGTAATTTGTCTAGAGATAGGCGGTTATGCCGCCATTTAGTGACCATTTGAATAATTATAATTGAAAATTTAACAATGAATTACTGTAATTATAAAAATTTTCACTAGATGGCGGTTTAATCGCCTATCTCTAGACAACTTACTTTATATCTAATTTTTAAATTAGTATTATTATAGTCAGAAAATAAGGTGGATTGTTTAGCAATATTATTAATATATTTAATATGGAAACAGAAACTGAAGCACACAGTAAAGTGTCAAAAATGTATAGAATAAGTTTACAATCATTTAGAAAATTTAATAGTTACAAATGAATGGTATGAAATCTGAAATAGTTTGTAAGAATAAAGGCCAACTGTACAGAGATCTATAGTCAGAAAATAAGGTGGATTGTTTAGCAATATTATTAATATATTTAATATGGAAACAGAAACTGAAGCACACAGTAAAGTGTCAAAAATGTATAGAATAAGTTTACAATCATTTAGAAAATTTAATAGTTACAAATGAATGGTATGAAATCTGAAATAGTTTGTAAGAATAAAGGCCAACTGTACAGAGATCTATATGGCAATGTACCTCTTTTGTGTCAGGCGAAATGTCTTTCACGTTAATATAGACTACACTAAGTGTAGACTTTGAGAGAGCATCAATTCTAAATTATGCTGCTGTGGTAAAAGGTTCGAAAAATTACACCTACTTGACAAGTTGAAAGCAGACATATACCTATATCGA